ACTCCAAATTATCATATAAATTATTTTTCATTCTTTCCATACTATGCAATTCAATATCTGCCGATGATTTTTCGTCTTGTGGCTTTGAAATTTTAATAATTTCTCCATCACAAATCATTGACAGAGACGATTTCCTTTCCTCTTCCGAAATAATGGGAGGAACTCTAATAAAATTATATTGAAGGAAATCATTGGGTATTGATGAATTATTTGAAATCTTTTCCTTTGGTTCGAAATATAATCCTAATTGTGGAATATTATTAATAAATTCCTTTTCTGCCGAGTCTTGAAATCCGATCTCCTCTTCTTCATCATCAATATTTATTGCATTTTTTGTATTATTATTTAAATTACTACCCAAAGATACTTCATCGCTAAACGTTGAGTTTGTATTGTTGAGGAGGGAAAGTAATTCCGAGCTGAAGAGGTTTTGATTCATTTTTTTTAAAGATCGTCCCTCAAAAAAATACCTCAACGTCTAGTACGTTTGTGCGGTTTTCTAGATTGACCAAGATGCAAGTAGCACAGCGCTAAACTATCGCCGTAACTTTCGGCATCGAGGTTTAGATGGATTCAAACTATGTATTGTTTATTCTTGTCTGTAGAATAACATATAGCTATCTTCTGTCAAAGATTTAAAGCAGGTTTCTTTAGTTTAGCACGGGCAAAACAATGTAAAGATACCGAGGCGTGGAGAGTAATGATTTAATTATGAACAGAAAGGAAATTTTATAAGAATATAATCAAAGAGAATAGATATTGTAGAACGTTACGTAAGAATTTTATTGCAGCGTAAGAGATGGTATTGGATCACCTTCTCGATATCCTTGACAGATATTTCAGATGCTTCCCCATTTAATTTTCTATTATTTCGCGATGTTTACTTTCCCTATGGTTTCCATTAGTCACGGTCTAACTCTTGGTTAGTTTCCAACTATGCAACTTAAAGGCTAGGCGATAACTCCACTCCTAAAAGTCCCCGTCCAATGACGAAGCTGTGAATGAACTTTGTTCCTACGATACACACTCCAAAAGTACACCATCACAAGAGTGCTTGGTCGAGAATCTGAATAGATTCGAAAAATTGTAGTGTATAATAATCGGTATTATAAATTTTTTTTAAAGATTTTGTAATCCTTTTTTTCTTGTTTGTTGGAAAATTGAGCTTGTGGAATCTTGAATATAGGGGAGAACTGGTTTATCTATTAAAATTACAGACTAGACGCATCCATCATGGCCCTTAGAGCGAGGAGTAAATTCTTTTGCTTTAAATTTTCTTTCTCTAGAGCTTTTTTAGATTCTTTCAACTCTTCATTTTCTGTTTTTAAATCCTTGGACAGTTTCAGTAGCTTTCTGTTCATTTCTACCAGTTTACTTCCATCCAAATCTTCAATCGAACGTTTCTTGGAATTATTCTTTATGAAAGTATCGAGATATCCAACATCTGACTGATCTGGTATAACACTGGAGAAATTTTCCATCTTTTCCTCAATTTCCTTCTGTGATTCTGTACTTCTTCTCATCAAGTTCCATGGATATGATATAATTGAATGGGTTTA